TATAATATAATATAATACAATATATTATAATATATCATATTAATATATATATATATGGTTTTTCTAGGATATCCAAGGATTATATTATCCGAAGAAACATGTAACTTAAGCTAGCTGTCGGTCTGGATAAGATAAACCTCCTTAGCCGCCCTAGCCTATTTGTCATTGATTCGATCTAGATTCAGTATAAAGGGGATATTCTCTCTCTCTCTCTCTCTACATAAATAAGGGTTCAGGGTTTAGGGTTATTGTAAAATTACATAGTTCAACTCATGTCCCCTAGACCTTCCATATCCAAGGGTGGCCTGTGCATGTCTGCTACGAGCCAAGAATGATGATTTCCTGGCTACATTCGCAATGAAGTGTTCGTCCTTCTGTCAAATGAATGTTGCAACCTCGAAGCGAACACCTTGTTCATCTACCGGATACTCGGAGTACAAGTAAGTGAAGTATTCCAATACTTTGGCCGAGAGGCGATCTACTGGGTTCCAAAACCACCGAAACAAAAAACCGAACTCTTGACAAACAAACAACGAAGCAGCCCGCCTACCGATGTGTTTATAGCTGTGGCCCTGCCAGGACAGTGCTCTTGATATACCTTACAACATGTCTTGGGGGAGCATGGTTCCTCGAGCAACCCCGCGGAAGCTCTTTTGAGTACTACCCTGCATTCCGAAAGATGATGCTGGACCTTTGGGCCGTAGCGAATGGTACAGCGGATACTTGTCTTATTATATGCCACATTCACAAAGAAGTCTTCTTACTGCACTGTAACTAATCGGCTCTATAGACGACAAGCTCCCTAGAAACAAAATGCCGAGGTGTTTCGAGTATCCTGGTGGATGGCACACTATGGCGGGCCCTCCCCGAAGCGACATGTTGGTTTTGGGAACAGTCAGGAGATTCAAAGTCTCGACCGCGGCCGCTTGCAGAGGGCAGCACACACGACCCGAGTCCGAACCACCAAGAGGAGTCGCAATTCTTCAGGCAAAGAGTGCTGGACAGGAAACCAAGAACTTCGCGCTTCTGAGTAGCTCCGATGTAATTATAGTTTGAATATACCCAATCTGAAAGACGCCCTTGAAAATTATCTAAATGAACCCAGCACACCTCCTGAACCTGATTCCAACCCGGCCACGTCCTTCTCAGCCCAGGCATTATCCCATGCGATTTGGCCGGTTCCTCGCGGGCAAGCACCACGACTTGGCTCGCACGTGCCGTGGGAAACCTACCTTTCCCGAACCCCTGCCTTCAGCCGTAGATAGCTTCAGGACTATGGAGTACGGCCAGGAGGCAGAACTTTGGGCATTTGCTGATCTTCAGAGTGTGTTTCGCTACTTGAGAGGTGGTAAACACCTCCGCATACCAGCCGAGTGGCGGGATCTGATACCCCGCTCCTTCCCTGCCCCAGGCAATTAATGTACAGACGGGCCCACTTCTTCGAAACCTAGAGCACTATAAAGGCTTGTAGCACAGTTTCAACAGTGGGTTTGGGTGCTCCAGGACAGGACAGAGTGGCTCCAGGGCCTTTCCAGAAGGTTTCGGCTGATTGTTGTTTCGGGTTTCGTTGCTTTTAGATAATTCAGGACAGCAGGGCTTCGGGCTCGGTTTTGGGGTTCGGTTTCGGGATCGACTTACACAGGTATATATCTGTTTATATAGCTCTTTTTAGCTTTTTACGTGGTTTTTCAGGGGTTTTAGGGAGAGTGTCACCCAGGAACCCGTAAAGACCCGCAAAAACCCATAAAAACAACCGTAAAAACCCAACAATAAAGCGTTAAAACCCATATCCTTATGATGCTCGGAAAAAACCCGGTTTAGGCCAACCCGTGCGCAACCCATAAAAAACCCATAAATTAAGCGTGTAAACCCATAATTTTTTTATGCGTTTTTCTGGGTTTGTATATCCTAAATCTATATAGGGCTTCGGGTGTTTCTCATAGAAGTTAAACCCACTTTCTCGAACGTGGGCCTTGGCAGGGGCTGTTTTGCATGCCTGGTGTATGACTCCATATGCCAATAGCCACCTTCTGCGGTAAAAAGCCTGTGTGTCCGTGCCTCGCAGCACACATCGGAACCGTCGCCAATCATCCTGTCAGCAACACGACCGATGTTGGGAAGCTTCTTTGCTCTAGCGTACAGAGAATCTTCGAAGGGCTTAGGGATGAGTAGCACCGTTGCCTCCAACATGTGGAGCACTGATACATTAGTGTGCGGGGTTGCACACGTGGCTGATGAAGCCGATCTTGCTTACTTGGACGAAGAAGAACAGAGGCTGCAAAAGGAAATGGAGGACCCCTAGCCTGGTTGCAACATGTACCAAATTTCTTCCCTGTAGTACATGTACCAAACTTCTTCCCTGTAATATAGCTACAACAACAGGAGCTTGAGCGGGAGATGACAAGCAAACAGATCGCTTCTTGGATGAAACCAACATACTCGATCTAGAGATCTTGTCCTTTCTTAAGTGATATACAGCAATGCAAAACGAACAGTCCTCCTCGAAATCAGGCTTCCGAACCGAAGCCCGGGGATGCCACGACGACCTCGGACGTGGATGCTGCTACACTGCCCGTGCTTTGTTGCATGACAGTTGTTTTTCTTCGGCTCATGCGGGTTTCTCTCAAGTTGGCTCAGGCAACAGCCGAGGAGTTGATGCAACCAGGTGTTTCGGACTACCCACAGCCCGACACTCTTCTGGATGAGTTTGACTCAGCAGCTTCGTTGCATGGAGAGTACAATATTATACGTTAACTACAAGGATGTATCTGATGTCGTTTTTCTATCTCATGAATCGATCGAGGATATGGAGGATGATGCTATGGTAACCCTCTTGGCCCGGGCCATCCCACGAATAGTCAAGCCAGAGCCGACGGAGGATGAGCCAACCGAGCATGAAGCCCCAGATCCCAAGGCCGACAACGCCCATGCTACCGGAAACCCCAAGGCAGCCGAAAAACCTGCGGCCCGACCCGTCGCAACCCCTGCAAGAGCTCCAGCTGCAGCTGTGGTGAAGGGAGAAAACTCCGAGACCGCGGCTGCCGTTGATGGCAAGCCTTCGCACTCGAAGTATGCCAAAGAGCCGACACGTCAGGCTACATTATGATCATGGTGTGCTTGCGCGAGCTTGCACATATGTTGCTTAAGATGTGTTTCTCGAGTGCTATCATTCTACACTACTTGCAAGGAGCGTCTGGTTACTGCGGCCCGAGCAAGATTGGGCCGTTGGATGAAACCCCATCCGAAAAGGAAGGACCTGGACGCACCGAAAGCCGTCAAGGATTACTGGGACAGCGGCCACAAGCAGGAGATGTCCGTGCTCCTCCGCGACCTCAACTTTGATCGTGTGGATCGGCAACCAAAATTACTGTGTTAGATAGCTTTCCACAATTGTCGCTCCCGGCAAACTAAGGATGAGTTCTGCAAGGTTGTCGAGGTGATCATCACCAAAAAGGAGAAGATCAAGCTGAAATTGGACGAGGGGTGGTACTCTGAGACTCTGAGACTGAGATGACAAACGACTTGAAGTGGAGCACGCCAGAGCCACAGCTTTCATTCTTGCATCTGTTGTCGAGTCACTGCCCCTGGAATCCCCGTCTCAGTGTCACTCACACAGTCAAACACACCCACACCCCACACAGTCACACTCACTCACTCACTTACTCTCTCTCTCTCTCTCTCTCTCTCTCTCTGTGTCTCTCTCTTGCTCTCTGTCTCTCTCGCTCTCTATCTCTCTCGCCCTCTCTCCGTCTCAAAAGACCAGACACAGACACGCGCATGGGGAGAGGGAGAGGGAGAGGGAGAGGGAGAGGGAGAGGGAGAGGGAGAGGGAGAGGGAGAGGGAGAGGGGAGAGAGAGAGAGGCAAGGCAAAACGGGACGCAGGTTAAGGACGCAGATGGGTATACAGGGGAAAAGGGGACACAGGTTAAGGGCGCGGATGGGTGTACAGGGGACAAAAGGGACGCAGGTTAAGGACGCAGATGGGTGTCGAGAGAAACCGAGCGAGAGACAGAGAGGATGGAGAGATATAGAGAGCCACAGAGAGAAGACAGCGCAGCAGACAGCGAGAAAAAGAAGCAGCCACTAGAATCACTAGAAAATGCAATCTTATCGCTCTGAGGCAAAGGATACAGGGTGCTATCAAGCGGTGTCGGCAGACACCGTTGACCCACACGCGGCGCAACTGCTGCAACAGTTATCGTGTCGTGCACCGATGTATGGTCTCTTCATGTGTCGCTGCGGCTGCAGGCAGAATCTCTACGACGGGATCGAAGAATACTGGGTCACAGTGCGAGAAACAGGCTCCCGGGTGGAGAGTTTGACCCATGAACAGCAGCAGCGGGACAAGAAGAAGGCCTCTAGGCACGAATAGACCCAATTAAGTCAGAAGCCCTAAGACCTTTATGAATAAGAACCCCAAACTGAGACTGACGACGACATCGCCTTGCCGGCGAACGCGTTCTCCGGGATTGCCTCCATGCAAGCAAGAGATGCAGCAGTGAAAGGCAACCCAGAATCCGCAAATACCTCCCAAGCCTCGCAGGCCAGCTTTGTGTTTGCTCTTATTGTATACTTGTACGACATAAACTCTGTGCCTGACACATGAACCATAAGAGCGGCTGAAGCAATGCCTCTCTTGCCCTCAGATGAAAGTGACCTTGAAAAAGTTCAATGACAGCCTCAATGCAAAGATCACCAAGCTGCAGAGCCTGCTGAAAGACCTTGAGGACAACTTTGCCCCGAAGGATATTGAGCAGTAGCTTATCTTATATTGAAGACCCCAAAACCTAAATTCAGTCAACCCTCAACCCTAACCCAAAGCTCCAGCTTCACCCGCCTCGAAACCATCCATTCGCAGCCCAGGACTGTGACTTCCTTGACCAAGCATATTCAGTGCTTGGAGCATCACTACGAGGTGTGCAACGAATCGTGGTGCAAAGGAGATGTGTATGGTTTCGATGATGAGTTGTTTAGTTGCACTTATGCAAAGTTCCTTTGTTGTGTTGGGATTGGGGTCTATCTGGGTTTATTCAGTGCTTCAAAATCATCAGATAAGGCTCTACAAGAAGGCAGAGCAGGAGATGAAAGCCGCGACATTCTCGTGGCATGCTTAAAAAACCATCTTCGCCTTTCCCCAGTTAGCAATATATTGTCTAGATCGGTCGACTACAAGCAGTCTTCTTTTCTAAGGTGTGGCAAAGCGATGTCGGCAGAGCAGAAAGCAAGGACTCCGCCCACTGCAGTGTCATATTCTGCAACAGACCAAAGCGTGTGCAGTCATACCAAAGCTTGAAGCCCCAAACCTTGAAGCTCCCGGCCAATGTCTAATGTGAACCTCGATCCTTTAACCCATGTCGATCCCAACAAAGCTTTGAAGCCCCAAACACCCCCAAACCCTAAACCTCATCCCGGCCTATATTATGTAAACCTCGATCCTAGCTAATGTCCATCACCCCAATGTGCCCATCTGCAGGAACTCCAGGAAGCTTTTCACCAAGTTGAGTGATTCGTCTAAGCCTCCTAAGCGGGGTGCTGAAAGCACTGCTGCTAAGGCTAGGCCGAAGAAGGCCGCCAAGAAGTAGTGTGCTGTTTTCTTCATGGGGTGTACAATCTTAGAAGGTGTGCGGGCTGATCCTGCAGCCATCGATCTCAGCCCGGAGCCCCGCATGTACATCGAAGCATCCATCACCAATCCTGAATGGTCAGTGCTACATAGTGCTACTGGGCCCGGGCTTTAAATTCGGGGACCTTGCTTTCAGATGTCCAGCTCTGATTATCCAAAGGGGAAGCAGAGGATTTGTTGTGTGCCAAACAGCAAAAACCAATAACCCAGTGCAGTCGCAGGATTCGAGGTGGCATGACTCAACACTGATTTGTCTCAACATGAATAACGTATTTCACGCCAGGTCCGAAGCCTGGCCGGACAATTCGCGGGCTTTCCGCGGAGATCGGCAGCGGGGCCCCCGCCTTGGAACACTTTGGTAGTTTGCTATGCCCAGTTCTTGACATGCTGGCCGGGTTCAGGGTTTAGGTCTGGGTGGTTTCGCTGGCTCTGTTGTATGCCTTCTTGTGATACTTCCCTGTATTACTGTATTCTTTAGCACACTGTGCCTTTTGAGACCCCAGCAAACTAGAAGAATTAGAGCGCACGTCTTTCTGTATGATATATAAGTGATTAATGTCTTGATCCCTCGATCTAGGTCGCCAACAAACCTCGATCAGCTGAAATTTCCCTTCACAGCCAAGTTCTCAAACCACTAAATGTAAAAACAACAAACACTCCCCTGCCCCAATAAACCCTAATGAACTGATCCCACCACCTCCCGTCGAATCCTCCCAGATAAACCCTAAACCCTAAACCCTAAACCCGTAGTTTCCTTTACATTGAACTATGAAAGTTGCAGGCCCTTCTAGTCCTTCTAAAAGTATGTCGAACCCACTTCATCGATCGGACTAGCATGCCCCTGCTGCCCACGAAGATTAGCATGGCCCTGTGCCGAGGCATCGTGCTCTTCAGCGGTGCGTGTGGCGCGTGATCTGGTGAGTGATGTCGGTGAAGCAGCCGCCGCTCGTAGCGGGGGGCTGCTGCAACTGGCTAGATCGAGCACTAGCAATGCCGAGAGGGATTCGCGTAAAGTCCTGGTAAAACGGTGTCGCCTGAGCCTGGAGCCCTTTGTGCCACTCAGTGAGCTAAAGTGCGGCGAACAGAAGGTGACCGTTTTGCGACTGAAGACTTGGATGCAGTTCCTGGTGGACAAGAGACTTTTGCATATAGTGTCTGGTCTGATCCGGCGTGATGAAGCTCGACAAGAAGCCATTCTGGCTCAATTTTGGACGAACTACAAAATCTCGCATCCAAAGCATCCTGTGTTCGAGTTGGAGCGCCAAGGCCGTGTGTGTCTGAGTCGCTGTGCACTTTTAGTCTATCACGGTGACGAAGGGCGTGGACGGCGTCGTATACCATTCTTGATCACCAGCTACTCTCCCATATTGGGTCGAGGCTCCGAACCCGCAGACAAATATCGGAAAAAGCACGGCATCCGTAAGGATTACGCCAAGCTGACCACCAACCTGAAAGGTCACTCTTTCACGAACAGATTTTTGCAAGCTGCGTGGCACCACTCGAGGTGATTTTGGGTTTGGTCTTGCGAAAGAGAACTAAGAGGAAAGAGTAGCGGATATAGGTATAGGTGGATTGGGTGTTTGAGTTGGGTGGGTAAAAGATGAATGGCATCTAAATCAGGTCCGTATAATATATCAATCTAGAGTCCGATCGGTAGGAAGGTGTTTAGCTAGGTAGGTATACCAGGTAGGTGGGCAGGGTATTATATGGTTATATAGGTATATAGCCTGTTATATGATATTCCGAGGTTGACACTAACAGTTTCTGTTGCTTAACCCTTTTACAACAAGCCGAATTGTTAAGGCAACTTGGCCAAAGAAAGTTTACGAGGATGATCGGACATTTGACAAGCTTCTTGGACTTTGCAAGAAAGACAGCGACTTCATGTTGCATCATGGGGTGTCTGACCCGAAGACTGGGAAGCAGTATTTTGCTGCAATCCTGTCGGTCGTGGGCGATTGGCAATGGCTGGTAAAAGCCGGCAAATTGACTCGTAACTACAACCATGTCGTGAAGAAGCCGCAGGACATCGAGGAGCCGCGGGGGATTTGCCATCTTTGTCAAGCAGGCCAAAAGGAACACAGCTTCGAACAATTGCAGACAAGGTCTCCTTCATGGTTACAAACGATTGGCCAGCAGGACCCGTTTGAACAGCCGTCGCCGTTGTCAACTCTTCCACACGAACCAGGCGCGGCGGCTTCCTTGTTTAAGTACGACGTCTGGCACACGTGCCACCTTGGAGTATGCAAAGCCTTCATTGGTGCAGCCCTGGCATTGCTGAGTGACCTTTATGAAGGCCGAAGCAAGGACACGCGTTTTGAGCAGCTGAATCGCGATTTTATGGAGTGGTGCAAACGAAAGCATCGGCAACCACTTATTACAAAACTGACGAAGGACACAATCGGCTGGGAAAACAACGCGAACTTTCCCGTCGCGTCTTGGTACAAAGGCTCTCTCTCGACGACATTTTGCGAGTTCATCGAAGACATGACAAGGGGTCAGCAGTTTGACGATCAACTTCTCACAAAGATTGGAGAGGCTGTGCAGTCTTTGAACATCTTCCTGAAAGGCCTCTACAAGTCCGACGTTTTTCTGGAAAGTGAACACGCTTGCTATCTTGGTGAACAGGGACTCAGATTCTTACGACGTTATTCTTGGTGCGCCACAGAATCTGTGCGGCAACAGCGCTGTTTGTTTTTGATTCTTCCCAAAGCACATTGTCTTCATCATATATGTCTCAAGGACTTAGTGTTGGATTCGCGCCAGTATTCGAAAGTTGTAAATCCGATCATTTACAGCGTGCAAATGCTGGAAGACTATGTGGGACGCAATGCCAGGTTGAGTCGACGCATCCACCCAGCCTCCGTCACAAAGCGGGTTGTGCAAAGACATCTACAGCAAGCCTATGCGAAATACAAAGAAATCGGTTACCTGGAGTGA